CAGTATAAACCCTATAAGACATAAAATTAAATGAGGTTTTAACCTTTAAAAAAGATCTCCATTTCATATTAAAATACAGAGTTTCATGCAGAAAACTTCATTTTTAATGAAATTGACCTTAAGATGTTTGCACAAGCATTTCTAATTTCTGTATATCAGATTATTCATTCCCAGCACCCACATGGCAGCTATGAACCGTCCTTAACTCCAGTTCCAGGGGATTCTGAAGCCCTCTTCTTTTTTAAATTTTTAATAACTACATGATTCGAAGAAGCATTTCACTACAGCTTTAACATTCAATAACACACTCCAGAGCAAGAGTACATCTCTTTGACAAGTGGCTGCAAGTTTCTAGGTTCACAGTTGAGTTAATACAGTTATACAATAATGAACTCAGTATAAGCCCTGTAAGACACAAAATTGAATGAGTTTTTAACCTTTAAAAAAGATCTCCATTTCATTTTAGAATATATTGTTCCTTGCAGACAGACTCATTGTTTTTGCTACTGACACTGAGATGTTGGCGCGTGCATCTCTAATCTGTATGTATCTGATTATTACTAGTCAGAATCATTTGCACTTGGATCCTTGGCACCTGTGTACGTCTATAAAGTCATCAGGCAGATTTCAATGGTATTGTTTATCACCTCTACTAATTAGCATGACATAAATTTCCATGCCTCCTCCTCAAATATAATACTTTTTTAAAAATTTGTTGATTTGTGTGTGTGTATCACACAGAACATCCCAAACCATCTCATTCGACTATACACCCACTTCCCAGATAGCACCCTCCCATAGCCTCCCTCTCCCCACTAGAGCCCTTATACTCTGATATGCCTACTACTGTCTGCTGTGTTGTCCGCACCTGTACCCATTCTCCACTACTTGCCCTTCTGGTGAATCTAGTCAGCCTATCTAGAGGTCTTTGTGACTCACTTCTGCTTTTATCTACAGTAAAACCCTGAGGGGAATCAGCCTGTTGGAGAATGCCTTGGTCCACACCAGGATCATTGTGCCAAAATGTAATCTACATGCAAGGGCTGCAAACAACTAACTTGGATGAAGCAATCATTTCTGACCACTGAGAAAAAGAAAAATCTGTAATGACATTCCTAAGCGGTGTGTGAAAGAAACAGAAATTAAGAGTGAAAACTCCCTTCCAAGAAACCTGGACATATTCTGACCCAAAACCACATACAAAGAAAAAGGAGTGGACCCTTACTTTGGCAGACCTGATTCCAGATCACTGACATCTAATGAGATATGATTTCTCCAACACCCATCTCCAATGTGTTGTGTAAGATGAATGGGGTTTTCATTTACTAATAGAAGAAATGAAGTTGGGGTAGGGGGCTGGGGGTGGTAGGGTGAGAGTGGAGATGGGGGAGGAGGTTTGAAGATAATCAAAATCTGTTGTATGAAATTTGTGAATCAACATAATTTCTCCTAAACTTAAAAAATAAATCTTTTGAATAGTAATATATATATAATATGAAATTCTCAAAGAATCAAATAAAAATATTTTTTAAAAGAGCAAATGTTGTAAGACTCTATTCATGTGACATCTCCATAATAGACAAATTCAAAAGAAGTACATCACAGAACACCAAGTCCTTAAAGAGGGGATGAGTTACAGCTTTAATGCTCACCAAGTTCCTGTTAGTGGAAGGAGTTGAAAAACATTAGAGACCGTGTGAGCAGTTGTATGGCACTATGAATGTAATTAATGCCATCAAATAAAAGGTGTTAAAACAGCAACTTTTATGTTGCATGTATCTTGACAATAATAAAAACTATTTCTAAGGGGAAACAATAAATCAATGAGTGGAATGCTGCCCTCCCCAACTCAAGCAGCTCTGGGACAACTTTGTAAGCTGTAAAGTATGTCACCATGGTGATCCATGCGCTGTGAGAGCCCATCGATTCCCATTGTCTTCTACCCAGCCTTCTCCAGCACTCCTCTTCCCTCCTCCCCCACAGGAACACAGTACCCGGGCACTCAACCGGGAATTCTTTCCTTGTCTGAATTCTCTCCATGATGAAAGAGACAAAAAACTTAGTTCAATTGAGACTCTTTCATAAAATGACAGAAACAAACTTTTCATCAGTAGAGTCTGCATTCATTCAGGAACCTACAGGGTAAAAGAAATACCATCAGAATTCCACTCCAAGGTTTGCAATGAAAATGGTTTACAGCAAAATGTTATTTTCCTCTTGGGGATCAATCTGCTGTTTGCTTTCAATATCTTACATAAACTTCCCCCGAGCAAGAAAGTGGCAATTGTAATAAGTAAGAGCATATATTTAGACTCTTAAATGTCTCCTCAAAATGACAAAACATTGACTTTTACTTTTTAAAAGATAGTAAGAGACTAAAAGGCCCTTGTAATCCACGATGGGACATTTAAACCTAACATTTTACCTTACACAGCCACGTGACAATGAACAGGAAAGTAAAAACCCTCTGAACCAGTCAGATGTAAATCTTGGTAGGCATTTTACAGAATAGTTTGGAGGAAGCAATAACTTGGATTCTGCTGCTCATACCAAGTGAGCAGCACCCTTAGAAAAGGTTTATTGTGGGTGCTGTAGGAGATAGCTCAGTAATTACCACACTTGTTCTTTGCCTTCAATGGCATTGAAAAGCTGACCAATGACAAACCTTGTTATGGGGCACATTTTTGGTCAAGAGCCAATTCTTGAGAAAATTCAGTTATCTAACAAATAAGTGTTATATGTGAGGTACTTGAAGAAGAATGGGTGCTTTGGTGTCTCCTCATTTTCTGAACACCTGCCCTTTGCCACACCAACCCCTCACTTCGCAATCTCCAGGCCAAATCTTTCCCTCATTTAACATGGGCATCTCTGCCCTTGAGTTGGATTCCAGAAAAAATAATCTCTAACATCCACTCATTCTCCCTGTCTTGAGCCTAAGGTAGGACTTGGCTTAAGTTTAAAAGCTTGTAACTTATTTATTGAAGCAGAATAATCAATACATACTTGATGAATGAGTGAGTGAATGAATGGACTTGACCAGCCTATTCAAGTAAAGAAATAAAAACTCTGTAAGTTCTCCAAATAACTGTCAGAAATAAGAATCTTCCCTCTAGAAAAGAGATACACATTTGGAAGGGAGAGAGGGAAATGCAGAGCCAAACAAAATCATGTTCTTACATCCATTTTGGAGGTATATAGTTTGTTTTGCTTTCCCTTTTGGCAATTTTACAACACAACTACCCAAAGATGGAAGATGTGCTTAGTCCAAGATGGAAGATGTGCTTAGTCCCTCGCACTCTGCGATGAATGATTCGGCATCATGAATTCATTCAACAGGGAGAATCCAGCAGTTTTCCTTCACCCTTTGCACTAGCACTTAAAGAAGGTGCTGTTTCTTACTAATTTATACACACGAGTATGGATACATGGAAGTTTTTTTACTCACTTTCACAAAAGTATTTATTCTCATGTTAATTAAAGTTAGTTAATTCCTGTGACATTTAAATTTTCTAATTTCATTTAATAATGTAGTTCTTACCAGAAAGCAGTAAGCTGAGCTACAGGCCAGATTGCCAATCCCCCCTTTGACCCCTCAATCAACCATGGGTGATTGCTCCCTGAATACAGATCAAATTCTTCAGAAATGTCATCCTATGACAGCAGAACCTTTTTAGTAATCAGGGCTTCAGAGACCCCAAGTCAATGGATGATTGCAGCTAATGTTTTTGATGGAAGGTTGATATGCTCTCCAGTCAGACAGACATACTTTTGAATTTCAGTCCTAACTATGAGAAGGAATAATTTTTCTAGACAAGTTATTTAACTTCCCCAAGCCCTAAGTCCACATCTGTTCAAAAGCTTGTATGAGGAAATAAGAGGAAAATGTTTGGCACAGGTAAACACTCCATAGATGTTAGCAGCTAGGCAAGTATAAGAAGTCGTGGCCTGCC